ATTTTATTTTCTTGGGCTCCATGATCACTGCAGATGGTGACAGCAGTCACGAAATTAAAAGACGCCTGCTCCTTGGGAGAAAGGCGATGGCAAATCTAGACAGCATCTTAAAAAGTAGAGACATCACCTTACCAACAAAGGTCCGTATAGTTAAAGCCATGGTTTTTCCAGTAGTGATGTATGGAAGTGAGAGCTGGACCATAAAGAAGGCTGATCGCCGAAGAATTGATGCTTTTGAATTATGGTGCTGGAGGAGACTCTTGAGAGTCCCATGGACTGCAAGAAGATCAAACGTATCCATTCTTAAGGAAATCAGACCTGAGTGCTCACTGGAAGGACAGATCGTGAAGTTGAGGCTCCAATACTTTGGCCACCTCATGAGAAGAGAAGACTCCCTGGAAAAGACCCTGATGTTGGGAAAGATGGAGGGCACAAGGAGAAGGGGAAGACAGAGGATGAGATGGTTGGACAGTGTTCTCGAATCTACAAACATGAGCCTGACCAAACTGCGGGAGGCGGTGGAAGACAGGAGTGCCTGGCGTGCTCTGGTCCATGGGGTCACGAAGAGTTGGACACGACTAAACAACAACAACAACAAGAAGGATGCTGGAATGAAGTTACATGGTTTTAGCAGAAAGGTTATAAAGAACTAAGTAAAAATGGATTGTTAATGGGTCAAAGTGTAAAATTTAAGGTCAAATTGTGTCAAGATAAATTATAGAACAAAAACTGAGAAAGATGGAAAGGATTTGCTGAAATAGCTATTTGAATTAGAATACAAAAAAGGGATGTGTGAGGAGGTCGATGAAACAAGTAAATGAAAGATAAAGATATGGAAATACTGGATGTGTTTTTAAATGTTTTTGTTTTTAAATGTTTTTGTTTTTCTTATTGTTTTGTTGTACTGTTTTTTATTGTGTTTTTTATTTTTGAAGTATTGTAACTTTTTTTTTCTTTTTTTCTTTTTTCTGTAACTGTTAAACCTTTAATAAATATCATTTAGAAAAAGAAAAAAACCAGTTCGCTTTGTTGCGTCTTCAGATACTTTGTAAAGGGTTCCCATTCATCCTTAAAGTCACAGTTATCCTTGTCCCGTAGCTTATATGTCAGTTTTGCCAGTTCTGAATAGTCCATCAATTTTTCTTGCCATGATTCTTTAGTTGGGGTTTCTTCAGTCTTCCATCCTTGTGCTACCAGAACTCTCGCGGCCGTTGTCACATACATGAAGATGTTTTTTCAACTTTTTTGGCAGATCTTTCCCTACAACCCCCAACAAAAATGCCTCGGTTTTTTAACAAATGTTAAATAGAAGATTTTCTTCAATTTGCTGTAAATCATTTCCCAATTTTTTTTAATTACCATACAATCCCACCACATATGATAAAATGTCCCCTCCTTTCCCTTACACTTCCAACATATATTTGAACAAGTTTTGTACATTTTCCCTAACTGCACTGGTGTTGTGTACCATCTGTACATCATCTTCATGTAATTCTCCTTCAATAGGGAACAATCTGTAAATTTTAAGTCAGTTTTCCATAATTTATTTACAAATAAGCCTCCTTTTTGGGCCCTCAACAAACATTGAAATGCAAAGTTGAAGCAAAGTGTAAGAATCTCTGAGAAGATATGCCTTTCATTTCCCCCGCTATTTGTCCTCCAAATATGGAAAAGAAAAGCCATGACCTCAAAAGGATGCAAAGAAATCACACTGTCATTCTTCAATGGATTGCTTGCCAGTGGGGTCCTCTTTGAGTTTTTGCCAGGGAAATGGGAACATTCAATTCAGCTGGCAATTAAAGGCCTGCCCAGCTAATTTACAGTTTCCACAACAGTATGTGAACCAGAACAGAATCATCCTTCCAAACTTTGAATTTTCCAAGGCGGTTCTCCAGTCACATAACTGGTACCCAAACCCATACAGTGGGGTACCAGTAGCCATTGATAACCCACAAATAACAGCCTTTCAAAACCATCTAATTTGGTGGCACTATCTCCTGTAGGAGCATAGAATCATAGAATCATAGAATCATAGAGTTGGAAGAGACCACAAGGGCCATCGAATCCAACCCCCTGCCAAGCAGGAAACACCATCAGAGCACTCCTGACATATGGTTGTCAAGCCTCTGCTTAAAGACCTCCAAAGAAGGAGACTCCACCACACTCCTTGGCAGCAAATTCCACTGTCAAACAGCTCTTACTGTCAGGAAGTTCTTCCTAATGTTTAGGTGGAATCTTCTTTCTTGTAGTTTGGATCCATTGCTCCGTGTCCGCTTCTCTGGAGCAGCAGAAAACAGCCTTTCTCCCTCCTCTATGTGACATCCTTTTATATATTTGAACATGGCTATCATATCACCCCTTAATCTCCTCTTCTCCAGGCTAAACATGCCCAGCTCCCTTAGCCGTTCCTCATAAGGCATCGTTTCCAGGCCTTTGACCATTTTGGTTGCCCTCCTCTGGACACGTTCCAGTTTGTCAGTGTCCTTCTTGAACTGTGGTGCCCAGAACTGGACACAGTACTCCAGGTGAGGTCTGACCAGAGCAGAATACAGTGGCACTATTACTTCCCTTGATCTAGATGCTATACTCCTATTGATGAGGCCCAGAATTGCATTGGCTTTTTTAGCTGCCGCGTCACACTGTTGGCTCATGTCAAGTTTGTGGTCAACCAAGACTCCTTTTCACATGTACTGCTCTCAAGCCAGGTGTCACCCATCTTGTATTTGTGCCTCTCATTTTTTTGCCCAAGTGCAATACTTTACATTTCTCCCTGTTAAAATTCATCTTGTTTGTTTTGGCCCAGTTCTCTAATCTGTCAAGGTCGTTTTGAAGTGTGATCCTGTCCTCTGGGGTGTTAGTCACCCCTCCCAGTTTGGTGTCATCTGCAAATTTGATCAGGATGCCCTTGAGTCCATCATCCAAGTCGATGTTGAATAAGACCGGGCCCAAGACAGAACCCTGTGGCACCCCACTAGTCACTCTTCTCCAGGATGAAGAGGAACCATTGATGAGCACCCTTTGGGTTCGGTCAGTCAGCCAGTTACAAATCCACTGAGTGGTAGCATAGTCAAGACCGCATTTTACCAGCTTCTTTACAAGAATATCATGGGGCACCTTGTCAAATGCCTTGCTGAAATCAAGGTAGACTACATCCACTGCGTTCCCTTCATCTACCAGGCTTGTAATTCTGTCAAAAAACGAGATCAGGTTAGTCTGACATGACTTATTTTTCAGAAATCCATGCTGACTATTGGTGATCACAGCATTCCTTTCTAGGTGCTCACAGACTGTTTGCTTAATGATCTGCTCCAGAATCTTCCCTGGTATTGATGTCAGACTGACTGGGCGGTAATTATTTGGGTCCTCTCTTTTCCCCTTTTTGAAAATAGGGACAACATTTGCCCTCCTCCAGTCTGCCGGGACTTCGCCTGTTCTCCAGGAATTCTCAAAGATGACTGCCAGTGGTTCTGAAATCACATCTGCCAGTTCTTTTAATACTCTTGGATGCAGTTCATCTGGCCCTGGAGACTTGAATACATCTAGACTAGCCAAGTATTCTTGTACTATCTCCTTAGTTATTCTGGGCTGTGTTTCCTCTGCTGAATCATTTGCTCCAAATTCTTCAGGTCGGGCATTGTTTTCTTTATCGGAGAAGACTGAGGCAAAGAAGGCATTGAGGAGTTCAGCCCTTTCTGTGTCCCCTGTTTGCATTTCACCATCTTCTCCTCTGAGTGACCCCACTGTTTCTTTGTTCTTCCTTTTGCTACGAACATACCCATAAAAGCCTTTTTTGTTGCTTTTAACTTCTCTAGCAAGCCTGAGTTCATTTTGTGCTTTAGCTTTTCTGACTTTGTGTCTACACGTGCTGGCTATTTGTTTGAATTCCTCTTTGGTGGTTTCCCCCCTTTTCCATTTTTTGTACACATCCTTTTTTAATCTTAACTCAGTTAAAAGTTCTTTAGATAGCCACCCTGGCTTCTTTAGGCACCTTCCATGTTTCCGTCTCATTGGTATTGCCTGAAGTTGTGCTTTTACTATCTCCCTCTTAACAAACTCCCAGCCATCTTGAACTCCCTTTCCTTTTAGTATTACTGTCCATGGGATCTCACCCAGCACTTCCCTAAGCTTTATGAAGTCGGCTTTCTTAAAGTCGAGAAATTGAGTCCTAGTATGCTTGGCTGCTCCTTTCCGCTGTATAGTAAACTTCAGAAGAGCATGATCACTCGCGCCTAATGATCCTTCCACTTCTACCCCACTAACCAGGTCATCAACATTGGTTAGGACCAGATCTAAAATGGCTGTTCCTCTTGTTGCTTCTCCCACTTTCTGGACAATGAAGTTGTCTGCAAGGGCAGTGAGGAATCTGTTTGACCTTATGCTCTTGGCTGAGTTTGACATCCAACAAATATCCGGGTAATTGAAGTCCCCCATTACTACTATCTCCCTTCCTTTTGCATGCTTGGCCATCTGTTCCAGGAAGGCATCATCTATGTCCTCCGTTTGGCTTGGGGATCTCCATTCTTTAACTGTGTGCTGTGAAGGATCTTTTTTAAATGCATTATCTGAAGAAATCTTAACTGCACAGGACATAAGGAGATCCCTGCTGGATCAGACCAGCAGCCTACAAGTCAACCATTGTTGTGAATGGTAACAAGAAGGTTACCAGAAACACACATGTGAGAAACAGCCCTGATAGCCCTCTCCTCCAAGAACGTGCTTTTCCGCTATTAACTTCATGGTAAACTCAATGCATAGCTGGGAAATTAATTCTCCAATGGCATAGTTTCAGAAACAACTCCCTCAGCTTCTCTCTGTCAGTCAGTGACACTAGCCTGTTTGTGGTCATTCTTCTGTATGTGGTTTTGCACAAGAGCATTACTCAAATCCAGACAACAATTCTCATCTTCTTCTGCCCCACAGGGATTGGGACATCTATGGTGTAAAAGACATTTGGTTTCCCACAAGGTTTCATCAGTCCTCCATCCACCTATAAGTAGAGGGACCTCTCCTTCCCCAGACAACTGCTCTTCCACTTGGCTTCAGGCATCTCCAGGATTCCCACCAACCTCCAGCCATGAAGATCTTCTGCCTCCTCTCTCTCGCCTTCCTCCTCCTGATGCTGGTGGCTCCAGGTATGGCCTTCTTCTCAGATGCTTCTTCTCTGAGAAGCTCCACAGCTCTCTCTTTTACTCCTTTTAAACCTGCCCCTGAATCCCACTTGCAGGGAATCCCAAAGGGATGGGTGGAGAATTCTCTTGACCCTCTGTCCCCCTTTAGAACTTAACTAATGGGGCATCTGGTTGGCCACTGTGAGACCAGGTTGATGGACTTGATGAGTCCCCTTTGGCCTGATGCAGCAGCCAAGCTCTTGGGATCTGATTATCATCCCAATCCTAAAATATGGAATCTGATCCAAAGAAGCTGCTGCTATAGAATTTGTAATGAGACATTTCAGTAGATTCAGCTTTGTAGTGGGGAAGGGAGTGGGCCAGTTTCCTGGGCAAGAGAACTTCTCTCTCCAAGGTTGCTAGTGGCCCCAGGGAAGCCAGTGACTGCCTTGGGTAAGCCCCCCTGCTGAAGGTGCGGGGGAGAGGGGCTCACTCCCCATCCCAGCCCCTTTCCTGCATTCTTCCTGCACCAGCCTCCCCCAACCTGGTGCTCTCCCGATGTCCTGGCCAGCAGGGCTGTTGAGGAACAAGTTGTGGAAGGTATACAAGGCCAATCCTTCCCAGGTAGCTTCTCTCCTTAGTAGTTGCATCTCTCTCTCTCTCTCTCTCTCTCTCTCTCTCTCTCTCTCTCTCCCAACTTCCCTTTCTCTTTGCTTTCCCCTGCAGATTTCACCGGAGCTCAACGTCCCACCCAGGATTGCCAGAACAATGGGGGCAGCTGCAGAAAAACCTGCAACAAAGGCGAGAAAGAGATTGGGAAGTGTTCGGGAGACAGGCGTTGCTGCAAGCGCAGCTAAGGTGAGTTATAGGCAAAACCATACCTGTGCCTGGAAATAAGTCTGGAGCATCTCAAGGAGACAGGACCCTGAAGGCTTGAGAGTTACAGCTCTGCTTCTTCCCTCTGTCTTTTACCCTTGACAGCCACAAGGGTGCGCGGTACTTGCTAAGTTCTCCCAAATGACTATTTTTGGTTTGGACCTTGAGAATTCCCCAATCACATTTGGAGCCACTTGGAGCTTAGAAAACAGGCGCTTGAGAAAAAGCCCCATGTGAAACAAGGTTTTTGAAAGCATAGAGGGCAGCCTTTGTCCATCAGGTGGCCACCAGATGTTTTGGATTATAAGCACCAGACCGTGTAATGAGGCATTTGGGTTCGGGATGGAGAAGTCTCCCGACCTCTGCACATTCAGCAGAAGGTCACATTCTAACCAACTCTAACCACCACAACCCCCATGAACTTCCAACTCTGATAGCATCCAGGTCTTCAGGGGGTCCCTGGCCTGTTTTGAGCACCCTCCCTCTCACCCATATTCACTGTGTTTTCTCTCTTTTTCATTTAACTCTACAGCAGACCCATCATGCACCATCTCTGACGAAAGGAAGACCACCCCGTTTCTTCTCTGGAGATGCAGCTGCCTTGACTGCACCTCTGCAGAAATCTCTTTGCTCACTGCTGCTACTGCTGAAGGCGCTTCTGGGAAGGATCCATCCCTGCCCAATCCTTTCTGCCCGTTTACTCCAAAGCAGGTCCTGCTGTGCTCAGTGAGGCTGGCATCTTTGTAACTGGGTTTGGATTGGATTCGCCTGCTCATTTGCTTTAGCTTTTCCTTTCAATAAATGCAAGCATTGGAAACCTCTGTGTGGTGGTGCCTTGTATGAAAAGGGGTGCTGGGTTGGGGGGGGGGCTCTGCCACTTCATCTCCATACTGTGACTTTGATTTGGGAGTAAATGACAGGTATTTCTGTGCAAATCTGTGGAATTGGGAATTGGCCCAGATCTGAAGGAGGTTGAGGGGGCAGTTGGTGGGAGCGGGGAGAATCAATGCTAGACACATCCCCTTCCAGGTCAAAATGGAGCAAGATTGCAATTATTATCAGAGAATCCTAGCATTATAGAGTTGGAAGGTAGCCTGAGGGTCAACTGGTCCAAGTTAAAGAATCACTGACAGGTGGCCATCCTATCTCTGCTTAAAATTCTCCGCTGAAGGAGAGCCCACCACCTTCTGAAGGAGTCCATTCTCTTTCCTTCAAAAAGATCTTCCCAGAGTTCAGTCGGAATCTCCATTCATGGGACTTGGATCCATTGATTTGGGCCCTACCTTCCAGAGCAGGAGAAAACTACCTTGCTCCATCTTTCACGTAACAGCCCTTAAGATATTTGAAGATGGGCCCCACATCTCCTTTCAGTCTCCTCTTCTCCAGGCTAAACCTACCCAGCTCCATCAACCATTCCTCATATGGCTTCTTTTACAGAACCTAATCTTGGTCCCCCTCCTTTGTACGCCTTCCTGGCAACAACCCTATGAGGTAGTCTAGGCTGAAAGGTCACCCAGTGAGCTTCATAGCTAGATGGGAATTTAAATCCTGGTCTTCCACTCCAGGGAAGCAATGCTAGACACATCCCCTTCCAGGTCAAAAGGGAGTAAAATTAGAGAATTCTAGAATTGTAAAGTTGGAATGGTCCCTGTGGGTCTTCTAGTCCAAGCTAAAGAACTTTGAATTGGACCCAGTTGAAAGTGCTGGTTTTGACCTACAACAGCTGAAAGGACTCAGGACTGCAATAGCTCAAGGACCTCTCCCTACACCCATTGTTGATGCTGCTGTTTTCTCAGGGGATGGATCCCTTTGTAGGTCTGAGAGCTCGTAACTGTCCAGCTTCCTCTGTCCCTAGTTCTGAGCATTCTGGGATTGGTGTCAGCTGCCCTTTGCAAAGGCAGCCTTCAGAAAATTAAGGAAGGAGATCGTTTGGAATTCCATCTTCCATATACAGTGCCATAAGAATTCAAAGGTGTCATAAATAAAACAAATGTTCCTAAGTGCACAAGGTAAGCACACACACATATAAGTAGATAAACCCCATGTCTGGAAGAGTGCAGGAGAGCAATCCAGAAGCCACGTTGAGTCTTAATGACCCCAAATATTTCTCTGCAGAAGGAAGTATCTCGGAGAAAGCTTCAAATCCTGTTTTAAGGGGATATTTTATGTACAGTATGAATAGGGTAGACCTGTGAAGTGGTTTAAAGAACTAAGGCATTTGCCATCTCATAAGAATGGCTCAGAATGGCAGGATAAATCAGCTCTCCTCTATATTGGAGGATGGCATTGCGCACGGGCAGCCGAGCCTCAAAGTCTTCCGGCATGGGGGTGAGTTCCATAGATGAACCGCGGGAAGAAGGATGTCCCTTTCTCTGTCCTGAGGCTTCCGCCATTCAGCTTCATTGGTTGTCTCCAAGTCCTGGGGTTCTGAGAGAGGGAGGAAACTTTTTGCGATCCACTTTCCTTGGCAGGGAGAAGAGGGGAGAGGAACCTCACAGAGCATTTGAGAAAGCCACTGGGTGAAGCACCCACCTCCCTGGAAAGAGGGGGAAACGGGGTGAACCGTGTGAGGAGGGGGAAGGGCTCAGGGGAAAGCTGTGAGTGGAAGGAGTGGGTGAGGTGGGGAGGGAGGGGGTTGGTCTGAGATGGGTGAAGGGAGACCAGCTGGGGTGGAGCCCAAATGAATTAACATATCAGAGTTGGCACTACCAGTGACTAGAAAAAGAGAGAGGAGGGCAGCCGAGAGAGCAAATGTCATCATTTCAAAACTGCAGGGGGCAGGAACACATCAACGTCATCATAGCAACACAGCCTTGGTCTTTGGCTGGTCCTTGGCACATGACCCTGAGAGATTGCAGCATCCATCCTGCAAACAACAGTTGACATCCCACAAGATTTCAACAGCCCTCCAGGCACCTATAAGTAGAGGGACCTCTCCTTCCCCTGGCAATTGCTCTACCACTTGGCTTCTGGTATCTCCAGGATTCCCACCAACCTCCAGCCATGAAGATCTCCTGCCTCCTCTCTGTCATCTTCCACCTCCTGCTGCTGCTGGCTCCAGGTATGGCCTTCTTCTCAGATGTTTCTTCTCTGAACTTCACATCTCTCAGCTTTCCTCATTTTTAACCTGCCTCCGAATATTTACTTGCAGGGAATCCATAAGGAATGAGCGTTGGGTTCTCTTGCCCCTCTGTCCTCCTTGAGATCTTCCCCAATGGGGCATCTGGTTGCCCCTGCAAGAAGAGGGACTAGATGGGGCCCCTTTGGCCTGATCCAGCAGCCAGTCTCTCCTTATGCTCTTCTTGCCATGCTAATCCTAAAACATGGAATCTAATCCAAAGAAGCGGCTACTTTAAAATCTTTCATTTTTGCAGTGGGGCAGAGAGTGAGCCAGTTTCCTGGGCAAGGGGGCTTCTCTCTCCAGTGGCACCCAGGGGAGCCAATGGCTCTGACACAGCCTTTTCTTCCGCCTTGGCTTAAACCAGGCATGTCCAACAGGTCAATCACGATTTACCTGTCCATCGCAGGGGTGCCGCTGGTCATTCAGCAGACTAAAGAAATTGCCTCCCCTCCAAAAAAATTTTTTATAAAAAGCTCAGCAACATTGGTCACTCCCCCCTAAATTAAGCCCAACAACAATGGGTAGATCACTGCAATTATTTTTATACTGGGAGTGGATCACAGTCGCTTGGGAGTTTGACATGCCTGGCTTAGACCATCTTCTAGAGGTGCAGGTGGGAGGGGAATGATCTCAGTCTCCAGCCCAGACCCTTTCGCTGCATTCCTCCTGCACCAGCTGTCCCCAACCTGGTGCCCCCCAGATATCCCAGGCAGTGGGGCCTTTGGAGAAGGTGTGGAAAGTGCAGAAGGCCAGGCCTTGGGGGGAGGAGCAGAGCAAGCATCAAAGGGTTTTTTCCCCTTCCAGATTTCACCGAAGCCCAAAATCTCGAACCGCAATGTGTCCGTAGGGGAGGGAGATGCAAGTATTTCAGCTGCGGCATCAAGGAAAGAGGAATTGGATGGTGTTCGAGAGACAAACTGTGTTGCCGTTGAGGTGAGTTATATGGAAATGTTCATTGTGCCCAGGGCTGAAGAAAATGGGTTCCAGAACAGATGAGGGAGCTGGGTATGTTTAGCCTGAAAAAGGGGAGGAGGAGACTTTTTTTCTCCTGTTTTGGAGGGGAAGACACAAAGCAAGATTCAGACTCAAGAAGGACTTTCTGAGGGTAAGAATCATTCAACAGAGGAATGATCTACCCCAGAAGGTGGTGGACTTTCCCTCCTTGGGAGCTTTTAAGCAGAGGTTGGATGGCCATTCATCAAGGATTCTTTAGTTGTGATTTGAACCTTGCCTGGGGTTGGAGTAGATGACCCTTTGGGGTCCCTTCCAAAGCTCCAGTTCTGCGGTTCTGGGCTGTGCACTTTGGGAGGCCTGGTTGGGGATTTGCAATCTCATCTTCCTTTCCTCTGTTTATTTTCCTAGCCAAGAGCTGCCCTAACCTACAAGGAGCATCTGAGCGAGCAGCACCCTCTTCATTCCTCCTTTTAAAACAGGCAGGGCTGGGAGGGACCCCTGCTGGGAACCCTGCTGAGATCACTCAGCTTGATGGACCAACGGATGGAAGACAGCTTCTGATGTCAGACGTGGGCCTGTGTCCCAGGGCGCCACCCCCTTCCTTTGGGGCAGGGACCAAAACCGACATTTCTACTCCTCTGTGTGCAATAAACTTCCATGTTTGCCATTCATAAATATGACAGTGTTTCTCTTTCATACCTTTGACCACCAGGAACCTGACAACGTTTCATTTATGGCCAGAGCTGGATCTAGGGAACAGCTGTAGGTGATCCTTTCAAATATGGGGAACGAGCTGTTGTGCTCCTCCCAGCATGAAACCTGGAATCTCCAGTATCAAGTCATGACTGGGAAGCTTTAACCTTCCAGATGCAACTCCCACCAGTAGCCAATGGTCAGGGCTTGGATCCAGAGTTGTTATCTAAGCAACATCTGTATCAAGTGGTCTGACCCTTCTTCTTCCTTTACACCTTAAGACTCACACCAAGGCAGATTTTAACCCTAGACCAGATTTTCACACACACCCCACACACCCACAGCCTCATTTGCTTAATATTCAGTCCAAAGAAGCGTTCTGCGAAACTCAAAAGCTTGCTCATTTTTTGGTGATCTGTAGTCAGTTCAGTAAAGGTATTGGCTTACAGTGGATATTGTATTTTATTCCATGGTGTTATGATTCTGCTTCTGGTTCTGATTTGTGTAAAAAGGGTAACGAGACCCTTGACCATTAGGTCCAGCCGTGACCGACTCTGGGGTTGCGGCGCTCATCTCGCTTTATTGGCCGAGGGAGCCGGCATACAGCTTCCGGGTCATGTGGCCAGCATGACTAAGCCGCTTCTGGCGAACCAGAGCAGCACACGGAAACGCCGTTTACCTTCCCACCGGAGTGGTACCTATTTATCTACTTGCACTTTGAGGTGCTTTTGAACTGCTAGGTTGGCAGGAGCAGGGACCGAGCAACGGGAGCTCACCCCGTCGCGGGGATTCGAACCGCCGACCTTCTGATCGGCAAGTCCTAGGCTCTGTGGTTTAACTCACAGCACCACATACTACCCTTCCTTTGTAGATTTCAGGGCTGATCACAACATACAAGATAATACAAGATAAAAAACACAAAATGCATAATAAAAAACAAAAACAAACCCCTATCTCCCCCAAAGCACCCTGGGGACATCATCCACTCACAGAAAATGTCCATTCATCTGTTGCCACCCTCTGGGCATCTTGGGGAGGAGGGACACAAAGAACGGCCTCAGATGATGATTTCAGGGTCTTGGTAGGTTCACATGGGGTGAGGGGCTGCTTGAGGAATTGAGGTATGATGGAATTGAGAGCCAGTGTGGTGTAGTGGTTAAGAGCGGTAGTCTGCTAATCTGGGGAACCGGGTTCGTGTCTCCGCTCCTCCACCTGCAGCTGCTGGGTGACCTTGGGCCAGTTACGCTTCCTTGAAGTCTCTCAGCCTCACTCACCTCACAGAGTGTTTGTTGTGGGGGAGGAAGGGAAAGGAGAATGTTAGCCGCTTTGAGACTCCTTAAAGGGAGTGAAAGGTGGGATATCAAATCCAAACTCTTCTTCTTCTATAAGATGCATCAAATATGGAGAGTTATGTGAGTATCACCCAGATGATGGGGTGAAGAACTCACCTGAGGGGCCTCACCTGTCCAGGGATGACCACAAGGTTTGGGGCAGCTTCCAAACCACCTTTCCTTAAGAAGATATGATAGCCACCATCAAATATCTCAAGGGCTGTCACACAGAAGATGAAGCAAGCTTGTTTTCTGCTACTCCGGAAAGTAGGGCCCAAACCAATGTCTTCAAATCACAAGAAAGGAGATTCCAACTAAGCATTCAGAAAAAACTTTCTGACAGTAGGAGCTATTTGACAGTGGAACAGTCTATCTCAGGAGTTTTGGTCTCTCCTTCCTTGGAGGCTTTTAAGCAAAGGTTGGATGGCTATCTGTCATGGATGCTTCAGCTGAGATTCCTGCATTGCAGGGGGCTGGACCTGATGACCCTGTGTGTCCCTTCCAACTGTACAAATCCATAATTCTATAAGACAGGGATGGGATCCTGTGGGTTCTGCAGGCAATACTGAAGATACCTCTGGCTACACATCACAATGCCTTTATTCTCCCTCCATTGTCATGGCAGGAGACTGTGGGAAGAAGGAGAACTCTTGGGCTGTGGTCCTGTTTGTGGGCATCTGGCTGGCCACTGTCACAATAGCCAAGGAAGTTGGGAGGAGCTCAGACCTTCCCCTGCCCTGTTTCAGGATATTACACACATGGAGGAATCTCATGTCTCCATGGAATCCTAACCACATATCCTGTCTTGGCCTCTCTGGTTTTTGTATTTATGTGTTTTGCACATCATATATTAGAGTCCAAGAGAAAACAAGACCCAGCACACCTTTTCAGAACATAGACCTACACAAAGTTTTCCAATGTTTGCATTTATTAAAAAGAAGAAGCTAAAGCATTTTTGCAGGCAAATCAAATCCTAGCTCCAATCCCGAGCCCACTTACTAAGGAGTCAGGCCGCACTGGCACCAGTGGGCTTACTCATGAGTAGACAGGCAGACAGGGCAGCTCCCTCTTGACTCCTTCCCAGCATTGCCTTCAGCAGCATCAAGCAAAGCGGTTTCTTCACAAGCAGCGATGGGGGTGCAGTCGAGGCAGCTGCACGTCAGAGGAGAGCAGGGTGGTCTTCCTTTCACCAGAGGTCTTGCACCGGAGATCTGCAGAGTTACTTGCCCCCTGTGAGAAGAGGAGACACTGTTAATATGGGTGCTGGTGGTGGTTCTGAAAACCCAGACCAGTGACTCCAACTGGGAGGCAGAAGAGCTGCTGTTGTCAGAGTTCAAATTGCACACAGAGGGTCTGTTTTGCAGAGGGTTGGACTAGATGACCACTTAGGTCCCTCCCAACGCTGCATTTCTATTCTGTGATAGTAGGAGAGACCTCTGGGCATTTCTTGTATGCACTTGGGGGAATTCGAGTGGGGCTTTGTTGCCACACACACTTTTTTTCTAATGTGGTTCCTTCGTCTTCCTTATGCGAACAGCAACCCCAGGAGAGGACACCTTTGAGGAGATCATTGTGTTGGTGTGCATTGAACTCTTTCCCTTCCAACTCTACAATTTTGTGATTCAATAACCACCTTCACAGGGACGTTTCACACAGGTTGCCTTTGCTATTTGAGGAGGGTCAGGGACTGAGCCCCCACCCCCTCATGCCATGAAGAGCTGTTCTTTGAGCCAAGGGAGGCTAAGGGGAGTTGTGGCTAAGAGGGTTGGAGACCTTTTATGGGGACGGCAAGGGGAGAGGACAGGATTGTCACAACCCCCAGTGTGCACACTAATATTGTTCCAACTCACAGTGGATGTAAAGATTAAGAGAGAAGTGGAGTGGGGGGGAAACAGAGAGATGTTTCATATGCATTTGGGGTCATGATACACAGCTGACAATTTTTCGAGGAAAACTAAGATTTGATTTAACTCACCTTAACGGCAACACACCCAGGGAGGACACCGGAATATTGGCCTTCGGGGTGGCCGGCACCTACCAATTCACATTACCCCTCTCTGCCTTCGACATCTCGGCCTGCAATTACCTTGGCCTCTGGTGAAATCTGGAGGAGGAAAAAGAAGACTGTGAAGGCTCTGTCTCTCAGGACTGACCTTCTACACCTTCTACAACTTATTCCACCATGGCCCTGCTGGCTTGGGCACCCAGAGGGCACCAGGTTGGGGAAAGCTGGTGCAGGAAGAATGCAGGGCTGGAGCAGAGAGTCAGTCCCTTCTGCTGCCTCCCTGCACCTCCAGGACAGGGTCTGAGCCAAGGTGGTTGGGAAGGCTGCTGTGTCAGAGTCACTGGCTTCCCTGGGTGACCACTGGCAAACTGGGAGAGAGATGCCCCCTTGCCCAGGAAACTGGCCCGTTCTTTCACCCCCCGCAAAGCTGAGTTTGCTGAAGCGCATTATTGCAGATTTGAAAGCAAGAGCTTCTGTGGATCACATAAATGAGGTAATAAGAAGAGACTGGCTGGTGAATCCGGCCAAGGGGGCCCATTGAGTCCAGGATCCTCTTCCCACAGTGTCCAACCACAAGCCCCATTTGGGAAACTCTCCAGGAGGACAGAGGGGCAAGATCCCACCTCTTTGGGAGTCAGATCAAGTGGTGCTCAGAGTCAGGTTTAAAGTGAATAAAGCTGAGAGTTCTGGAGCTCAGAGAAGAAGCATGTGAGAAGAAGGCCATACCTGGAGCCAGCAGCATCAAGAGGAGGACGGCCACAGAGAGGAGGCAGAAGATCTTCATGGCTGGAGGTTGGTGGGAATCCTGGAGGTACCAGAAGCCAAGTGGAAGAGAAATTACCAGGGGAAGGAGAGGTCCCCGTACTTATAGGTGACTGAAGGACTGATGAAATCTTGTGGGATGCCAACCGTTGTTTGCAGGATGGATGTGGCAAGCCCTGAGCTTCATGTGCCAAGGACCAGCCAGAGACCACAGAATCATAGACTTATAGAGCTTCAGCACTGGAAGGTTACCCCAAGAGTCATCTAGTGCAACCCCTGCATTGCAGGAATCTCTGACTGGTGCCCATCCAACCTCTGCTTCACATCCTCCTGCATGGGAGAGAGCCCACCATCTTCTGAAGGGGTCTGTTCCACTGTGGAATAACTCAGATATTCCTAATGTTTTGAATCCATTGGTTGGGATCTTCCCCTCTGGAGCAGGAGAAAGTCAAGCTTCCTCCATTCTCTATGTGGCAGCCTTTGAGATATTGGAAGACGGGATGTGAGGGCGATCTGGCTGCGACATCTGTCACCCCATTGATCGCCAGGGTTGATTCGGCTGATCTGGCTGGCTAGGCGGGTGTCCCCTTCCTCCTTCACCGCTCCATGTGCGTCCCTCCCGAAGCTGCGCGCTCGGTGGAAGAGGACGACCATCCCAGATAGAAGGAGTGTACCGTTCTTCGGTCAAGGGTATACGATAGCTGCACTCCCCTGCTAGAACCTCCAAACAAGCTCGAGATATTGGAAGACGGCTCTCATTTTTCCTCTCAATCTCCCCAATTCCCTCAATCATGTAGGATGTGAAACACAAGAGCAGCCAAGTACAGAATTCCCAGAGTGAACATGTTTACACATGGGAGGAATGTTTGTCCAGCCAGCAGGTAAACTTCCTGTTTCCTTCTGGGCTGGGACAGACTTCCTCTGCATGTGACTAGAGGTGGGTGTGGCCTCACCTGTGCAGGTAATGACAAAAGCACAGGGCAGGGCAGTCATCTCTCTCTCTGACTACTTTCTTCGAAGAAGCAACATCTGCTTAGCCAAAGATGCTAAGAGAGGACAAAGGGACTGTCTCCTTATGGGATAGTTTCCAGGTGTATGTAACTTTTCTAAACTAAGTCTGCCCTCTGGGATCCAAGTGTGATAATTTGGTGATAATTTGCTGTTTATAACTTTATAATTGGGAACGCAGGAACGGGAGATGTGAGGAAGTCCAAAATTTGATGAAAGTATGGTTATTAACTAATGGATTTGGTTGTTTTATCGTCTTTTTCCTTTTTTCCTTTTTTGGATGGTGTTTTAATCTTTCTATTTTCTTGTGTCTTTTTTCTTTTTTTCTTTTGGTACTTTGGTGATGGTTTTATGTGTATTTGATGATTATAAATGCTTAAAATCTTTAATAAAAATTATTTAAAAAAACAATAAAAAAACAAAATATCTAAAGGATGGCCTCTCCCCATATGAACTGACCTTGACCTAGAGATCATCATCAGAAGCCCTTCTTCATGTGCCTCCTTCACAAAAGGTTTGGAGGGTGGAAATGTTGATTTTTTTCCATTGTCTGAAATATCCCCTCAACCCAGCACACCTTTTTCACAACATGAACCAACAGAAAGGTTTCCAATGCTTGCATTTATTAAAGAGAAAAAGCTAAAGCATTTCTGCAGGCAAACCAAATCCAAGCTCCCATCCCGAGGCCACTTACTCAGGAGTTAGATCCCAGTGGAAACAATGGGGCTTACTCATGAGTAGACAGGCAGACAGGATGGCATCAAGCAGAGGTGGGGGTGCGGTTGAGGCAGCTGCACATCAGAGGAGAGCAGGGTGGTCTTCCTTTCACCAGAGGTCTTGCACTGGAGATCTGCAGAGTTACCCCCGACCTGTGAGAAGAGGAAACAATGTTAATATGGGTGTTGGTGGTGGTTCTGAAAACCCAGAATAGTGACTCCAACTGGGAGGCAGAAGAGCTGCTGTTCTCAGAGTTCAAATTGCACACAGAGGGATTGTTTTGCAGAGGGTTGGACTAGATGACCCCTTAGGTCCCTCCCAGCACTACATTTCTATTCTATGATTGTAAGAGAGACTTCTGGGCATTTAATGTATGCACTTGGGGGAATTTGAGTGGGGCTTGGCTGCCACACATACTTTTTTTCTAATGAGGTTCTTTATCCTTCTTTTTTATGCGAACAGCAACCCCAGGAGAGGACGCTTTTGAGCAGATCATTGTGTTGATGTGCATTGAACTCTTTCCCTTCCAACTCTGCAATTCTGTGATTCAATAACCACCTTCACAGGGACGTTTCACACAGGTTGCCTTTGCTATTTGAGGAGGGTCAGTGACTGAGCCCCCACCCTCTCACACCAGGAAGAACTGTTCTTTGAGCCAAGGGCGGCTAAGGGGAGTTGTGGCTGAAAGGGTTGGAGACCTTTCATGGGGACGGCAAGGGGAGAGGACAGGGATGTCACAACCCCCAGTGTGCACACTAATATTGTTCCCCCTCACAGTGGCTATAAAGATTAAGAGAGGGAGGTGGGGGGGGGGAGAGCAATGAGTCTCATGTATGTGGGATCATGAGACACCACTGACTTATTTTCCAGGCAAACTAAAATTAGAGTTAACTCACCTCTACGGCAACACCATAGGCGATAGCACGGAAATAATGGCCTTAGGGGTGGACAGCTGCCTCGCAGTATCCCATTCTGCTGTCGACATCTCTGAATGCAAGGAGGTTGTCCTCTGGTGAAATCTGGAGGAAGAAAATGAAGACTTTGAAGGATCTGTCTCACAGGACTGATCTCCTACACCTTCCACAAGTTCTTCCACAATGGCCCTGCTGGCTTGGACACCCGGAGGGCACCAGGTTGGGGAAAGCTGGTGCAGGAAGAATGCAGGGTTGCAGCAGAGAGCCAGTCCCTTCTGCTGCCTCCCTGCACATTCAGGACAGGGTCTGAGCCAAGGTGGTAGGGAAGGCTGCTGTGTCAGAGTCACTGGCTTCCCTGGGTGGCCACTGGCAAACTGAGAGAGAGATGCCCCCTTGCCCAGGAAACTGGCCCGTTCTTTTGTCCACTGCAAACCTGAGTTTGCTGAAGCGCATTATTACAGATTTGAAAGCAAGAGCTTCTGTGGATCACATAAATGAGGTGATAAGAAGAGACTGGCTGGTGGATCTGGCCAAAGGGGGCCCATCAAGTCCAGCATCCTCTTCTCACCGTGTCCAACCAGATGCCCCATTTGGGATATTCTCCAGGAGGACAGAGGGGCAAGATCCCACCTCTTTGGGAGTCACACCAAGCGGTGCTCAGAGGCAGGTTTAAAGTGAATAAAGCTGAGAGTTGTGGAGCTCAGAGAAGAAGCATCTGAGAAGAAGGCCATACCTGGAGCCAGCAGCATCAAGAGGAGGACGGCCACAGAGAGGAGGCAGAAGATCTTCATGGCTGGAGGTTGGTGGGAATCCTGGAGGTACCAGAAACCAAGTGGAAGAGAAATTGTCTGGGGAAGGAGAGGTCCCCATACTTATAGGTGACTGAAGGACTGATGAAATCTTGTGGGATGCCAACCGTTGTTTGCAGGATGGATGTGGCAAGCCCTGAGCTTCATGTGCCAAGGACCAGCCAGAGACCACAGAATCATAGACTTATAGAGTTTCAGCACTGGAAGGTTACCCCAAGAGTCATCTAAGTGCAACCCCTGCATTGCAGGAATCTCTGACTGGTGCCCATCCAACCTCTGCTTCACATCCTCCTGCATGGGAGAGAGCCCACCATCTTCTGAAGGGGTCTGTTCCACTGTGGAATAACTCAGATATTCCTAATGTTTTGAATCCATTGGTTGGGATCCTCCCCTCTGGAGCAGGAGAAAGTCAAGCTTCCTCCATTCTCTACGTGGCAGCCTTTGAGATATTGGAAGACGGCTCTCATTTTTCCTCTCAATCTCCACAGTTCCCTCAATCATGTGGGATGTGAAACACAAGAGCAGTCAAGTACAACATTCCCAGAGTGAACATGTTTACACATGGGGAGGAATGTTTATCCAGCCAGCAGGTAAACTTCCTGTTTCCTTATGGGCTGGGACAGACTTCCTCTGCAGATGACTAGAGGTGGGCGTGGCCTCACCTGTGCAGGTAACGACAAAAGCACAGGGTAGGGCAGCCTTCTTTTTTTGACTACATGCGTCAAAGAAGCAACATCTGCTTAGCCAAAGATGCACTCTTGGCCTCCAGCCAAGAGAGGACAAAGGGGCTGTCTCCTTATGAGATAGTTTCCAGATGTATGTTACTTTTCTAAGCTAAGTCTGCCTTCTGGGATCCAATTGCGAACAGAATGTGAGTGAGTAAACTCTTTTATACTTTTATAGAAGACTGTGCCATGTCTTATCTTTTATGAGGGAATAAGGGGGAAATATCAGAAGTTATTATAGAGGCTTTAGCGAGCCTGAGCAAACGCATCCAATGTGAGTTTAAAAAGGGGAATGTTACTCTGCTAAATTGTGAACTTGTTAACACAAGTTGGAAAGGCTATAATCAAGCAATATATCCTCTCCTGCATCCCTGAACATTCCCACAAATCATTCTACTATTACTCTTGTTATGTGTTCTTGCCCCTCTGTCTCTTCATCACATTTCCAAAGACATTGTTTCCAGCTGCCCCCCAAATTCTTGGACTTTCACAGAAACCCTTAAGCCACCTTGGCTTCTCACTTTCTCATGATGAGTCCCAAATTCCCATCTTTGTGGAGGGGTGTGCTAACTTTAAATGGCTTCACATTTGGGAAAGCAGCAGGAAGAGAAAGGGGGGTGAGGTGGGTGTTGTGAGTCAACAGCATCTGGTGGAGGGCACCACATTGGCTACAGATTCCCCCCATTGAATTTGTCTCCCACCTGCCACTGCTGCCCTTTTCAATGCTGGTGGCCATCCTGAAATATCCCAGGGGAACTGAAGGAGGCAGTGGTGCGTCCGCTCTTAAAGAAAACATCATTAGATCCTTTAGATCTATCCAATTACCGCCCGGTTTCGAATCTTCCATTCCTGGGTAAGGTGATTGAGAGAGCGGTTGCTGAACAGCTTGGTAGGTTTCTGGATGAAACATCGGCTCTCGATCCATTCCAGTCCGGCTTCCGCGCTGGTCATGGGACCGAGACGGCTCTGGTCGCCCTAACAGATGATCTCCGCAGGCAGCTGGATCGAGGCGGGTCGGGGCTGCTGATTCTTCTAGACCTGTCAGCAGCCTTTGACATGGTCGATCACGAACTCCTGGACCACCGCCTTGCCGACGTGGGGATCCAGGGCACAGTCCTTCAATGGCTGCGCTCGTTTCTCTCTGATCGGGGACAGAGGGTGGCGCTTGGGGGGGAATTGTCATCGCGCCACTCCTTGGTGTGTGGAGTGCCTCAGGGTGCAATTCTCTCCCCGATGCTTTTTAACATCTTTATGCGCCCCCTCGCCCAGCTTGTCCGGAGTTTTGGGCTGGGTTGCCATCAGTATGCCAATGACACCCAACTCTATCTGTTGATGGACGGCCATCCTGACTCGGCCCCAGATACACTGACCAGATGTCTGGAAGCTGTGGCTGGATGGTTACGTGGGAGCCGGTTGAAGTTAAACCCTTCGAAGACAGAGGTCCTCTGGCTGGGACGGAGCGATATGGGATTGAGGGGGCAACTCCCATCTCTTGCGGGGGTGCAATTAGTGCCAGCATCGTCCGTTAAGAGTTTGGGTGTAATCTTCGATACCTCCCTCTCTATGGAGGCGCAGATTACAGCTATAACAAAGGCAGCATTTTTTCATCTCCGCCAAGGCTAAGCAGTTGGCTCCTTATCTCTCTCGCCCTGACCTAGCCACTGTGATCCACGCGACGGTCACCTCCAGACTGGATTATTGTAACTCGCTCTATGTGGGGCTGCCCTTGAGACTGACCCAGAAACTCCAGCGGGTGCAGATGCCGCAGCGAGACTCCTTATGGGGTCTTCGCTGCGAGATCATATCCATCCGGTGCTATACCAGCTGCACTGGCTCCCGGTGGAGTACAGGATCAGGTTTAAGGTGCTGGTTTTAACCTTTAAAGCCCTATACGGCCTAGGACCCTCGTACCTACGGGACCGCCTCTCCTGGTATGTCCCACAGAGAAATTTACGGTCTGCAAATAAAAACATCTTGAAGATCCCAGGCCATAGAGAGGTTAGGCTGGCCTCAACTAGAGCCAGGGCCTTCTCGGCCGCAGCTCCAATCTGGTGGAACGCTCTGTCACAAGAGACTAGGGCCCTGCAGGACCTGATATCCTTCCGCAGGGCCTGCAAGACAGAGCTGTTCCACCAGGCCTTTGGTCAGGGCGCAGCCTGACCCCCTCCTCTGGCAATCGGCATTCTGCACAGAATTTTGCTTGATGGTTGCCATTAATTTGATTTTAATTTGATTTAATTAATTTTATAATGAATGTTTTTAGAATGTCGGATTACTTTGATTGTTGTTAGCCGCCCTGAGCCCAGCTTCGGCTGGGGAGGGCGGGATATAAATAAAATTTATTATTATTATTTATTATTAAAGGCAACTCCTATCTTCTTGCCAACAAAGGTCCTTATAGTTAAAGCTATGGTTTTCCCAGTAGTGATGTATGGAAGTGAGAGCTGGACCATAAAGAAGGCTGATCGCTGGAGTATTGATGCTTTTGAATTATGGTGCTGGAGGAGATTCTTGAGAGTCCCATGGACTGCAAGAAGATCAAACACATCCATTCTTAAGGAAATTAGCCCTGAGTGCTCACTGGAAGGACAGATCGTGAAGCTGAGGCTCCAAGACTTTGGCCACCTCCTGAGAAGAGAAGACTCACTGGAAAAGACCCCGATGTTGGGAAAGATGGAGGGCACAAGGAGAAGGGGACGACAGAGGACGAGATGGTGGGACAGTGTTCTCGAAGCTACCAGCATGAGTTTGACCAAACTGCGGGAGGCAGTGGAGGACAGGAGTGCCTGGCGTGCTCTGGTCCATGGGGTCACGAAGAGTCGGACTTGACTAAATTACTAAACAATAACAACAACATCTTCATCTTTTTCTGGACACTGTTTGAGCACTGTCCTGCTCTCTATTTGTGTGTTTATGTTGTGCTGCTTTTATCATATTTGTGTTGCTTGCTTGATGCTTCATTTTAATATTTCTGGTTGACACTGGTTTAAACATCTGTGCATTGTTGTGAATATATGGGGGGAGCTACAAAAAGTGGGTACCCAAAGGTGAGGGCAAGGCTTTTTAATTTAATTTTGGAGATGGGGGAGAAGTATCAGGGCCAGTCATGAGCTGTTGGTCTGGGCTGTGCCTGTAACACTTACAAGGCAGTTGCTGGTCTTTTGCAATCTCCACAAGGATGGGCCCATGAGATGTCTTCAGCATCCTTTCCCAAGAGCCCGAAGTTCAAACCCAGCAAGCAAGGTGGGGACCCTGTGGTCACAGGGCTAAGTCCCATTTCCCCACCTGGTCTTGTTTCAAGTTAACGGACAAGCGTTGCTCCATTAGATGCCCACAGGCAGCCAAGTTGGGTGAAGCAACTGCCAGATTCAGCACAGTGAACTTGGGAATGAGCCCAGATCAGAAGGTGATATTGAGGGACAGTGCATGGGATTGGGGAGCAGCAATGCCAAAGACATCCCTTTCCATGCAAACAGATTGAGGGTTGGACCTGTTGAAAAGGGGCAAATAACGTATGTGAGGATTCCTTGAAAATATTGTTACACTGCACCCAAATTGCTGAGCATGGAGAAAACCCAGGGGGTTCAGTGTGTGCCTAGAGTTTGGTTTCCTTGAAGGGGAGCAGAGACTTTGGTGTCTTTAGGAGATATAGGTTTGTTTTAAACATGTAGAGAGAGCCTGAGCATAAAATGGATGGGGTCACAGCATTAACACCCCCAAATCATCCTTCTCAGTTATTCACAGCTTTGGGTCCCCTGCACAGCAAACAGGCATCTATGTCTCCAGCTTCCAGGCTGCTTCCAGTTCAACTCTCACACACCACATGGATCTCAAGGAAAACCACTCCCCACATGAACTGATATTGACCCTGAGATCATCATAAGAAGCCCTTCTTCATGTGCCTCCTTTGCAAGAAGTTTAGAGGGCGGAAATGTGAGAAGAGGACTTTTCTGTAGTGGCTCCCTATTGCTATTTGTCCATTGGCTCAAATATCCCCTCAACCCAGCAGATGTTTCACAATATGAACCAACACAAAGGTTTCCAATGCTTGTATTTATTAAAAAGAAGCTAAAGCATTTTTGCAGGCAAACCAAATCCAAGCTCCAATCCCGAATCCATTTACTAAGGAGTCAGAACCCACTGGACACAGTGGGCTTACTCATGAGTAGACAGGTAGACAGGATGGCTCCCACTTGACTCCTTCCCAGCATCACCTTCAGCAGCATCAAGCAAAGCGGTTTCTTCCCCAGCAGAGATGGGGGTGCAGTCGAGGCAGCTGCACATCAGAGGAGAGCAGGGTGGTCTTCCTTTCACCAGAGGTCTTGCACCGGAGATCTGCAGAGTTAGTATCCTGTGAGAGAAAACACTATTAAAACGGGAGTTGGTGGTGGCTCTGAAAACCCAGACCAGTGACTCCAACTGGGAGGCAGAAGAGCTGCTGTTGTCAGAGTTCAAACTGCACACAGAGAGTCTGTTTTGCAGAGGACTAGATGACCCCTTGATGCCTCCCAATGCTACATTTCTATTCTATGATAGTAGGAGAGACCTCTGAGTATTTCATGTATGCACTTTTGGGGGGATCTGAGTGGGGCTTGGCTGCCATACACACTTTTTTTCTAATGTGGTTCTTTTTCCTTCTTCCTCTTTACCCAAACAGCAACCCCAGGAGAGGACACATTTGAGTAGATCATTGTTTGTGCGCTGGTGTGCATTTAACCCTTTCCCTTCCATCCATATTAATTTCTCTTCCAACTCTACAATTCTGTGATTCAATAACCACCTTCACAGGGACTTTTCACACAGGTTGCCTTTGCTATTTGAGGAGGGTCAGCGACTGAGCCCCCACCCTCTCACACCAGGAAGAGCTGTTTTTTGAGCGAAGGGAGGCTAAGAGGAGTTGTGACTGAGGGGTCAGAGAGCTTTCATGGGGACAGCAAGGTGAGAGGAAAGGGTTTTCAACCCCCTGTGCACACATTAATATTGTTCCCCTTAAACTGGCTGGAAAGGTTAAGAGAGGGAGGTGGAGGGAGGGACAGAGCGATGATAGTCATGCATTTGGGGTCATGAGACTAATTTTTGGGCACAGCTAAGATTTGATTTAACTCACCTTAACGGCAACACATTAGGACAGATGAACACATAAAAAGTGGCTTCGGGCACCATCTTATGCATTTCCCACCGATACGTTCACATATCGGAACAGCAACTTTGGCTCTGGTGAAATCTGGAGGAGGAAAAAGAAGACATTGAAGGCTCTGTCTCTCAGGACTGACCTTCCACACCTTCCACAACTTCTTCCACAATGGCCCTGCTGGCTTGGACACCCGGAGGGCACCAGGTTGGGGAAATCTGGTGCAGGAAGAATGCAGGGCTGGAGCAGAGAGTCAGTCCCTTCTGCTGTCTCCCTGGACTTTCAGGACATGGTCTGAGCCAAGGTGGTTGGGAAGGCTGCGTCAGAGTCACTGGCTTCCCTGGCAACCACTGGCAAACTGGGAGAGAGAAGCCCCCTTGCCCAGGAAACTGTCCCGTTCTTTTGTCCACGAGTGTGCTGAAGCGCATTATTACAAGTTTGAAAGCTTCCGTGAATCTTATAAAGGATGTAATCAGAAGAGACTGACTGGTGGATCTGCCCAAAGGGGGCCCATCTAGTCCAGAATCCTCTTCTCCCAGGGTCCACCCTAAAGTCCCATTTGGGATATTCTCCAGGAGGACATAGGGGCAAGATCCCACCTCTTTGGGAGTCACAGCAAGTGGTGTTCAGAGTCAGGTTTAAAAGGAATAAAACTGAGAGCTGTGAAGCTGCTCAGAGAAGAAGCATGTGAGAAGAAGGCCATACCTGGAGCCAGCAGCATCAAGAAGAGGACGGCAACAGAGAGGAGGCAGAAGATCTTCATGGCTGGAGGTTGGTGGGAATCCTGGAGGTACCAGAAGCCAAGTGGACTGGGGAAGGAGGGATGATACAAATTATAGGTGCCTCGAGGACTGTTGAAATCTACTGGGTTGCCAACCGTCATTTGCAAGATGTATGTGGCAAGCCCTCAGGTTCATGCGCTCTGAGGTTCATGAGGTTCTGAGTTTCAACATTGGAAGATACCCCAAGTGTCAAACCCCTGCAATGCAGGAATCTCTGACCGGTGCCCATCCAAATTCAGCTTCCAAAAATGGGCACCCAAAGGTGATGGCAAGGCTTTTTAATTTAATTTTGGAGAAGGAGAGAAGTATCAGTGCCAGTTGTGAGCTGTTCGTCTGGGCAGTGCCTGTATCATATGGAAGCAGTTGCTGGTCTTTTGCAATCTCCACAGAGATGGGGCCCATGAGATGTCTTCAGCATCCTTTCCCAAGAGCCTGAAGTTCAAACCCAGCAGGCAAGGTGGGGAAACTGTGGCCACATGGCTAAGTCCCATTTCCCCACCTGGTCTTGCTTCAAGTTAACGGACAAGCGTTGCTCCATCGGACGCCCACAGGCAGCAAAGTTGGGTGAAGCAACTGGCAGATGCAGCACAGTGAAATTGGGAATGAGCCCAGACCAGAAGGTGATATTGGGGGACAGTGCATGGGATTGGGGAGCAGCAATGCCAAAGACAGGGACGCGGGTGGCGCTGTGGGTAAAAGCTTCAGCGCCTTGTGCTTGCCGATCGAAAGGTCGGCGGTTCGAATCCCCGTGGTGGGGTGTGCTCCCGTTGCTCGGTCCCAACGCCTGCCAAACTAGCAGTTCGAAAGCACCCCTGGGTGCAAGTAGATAAATAGGGGCCGCTTACCAGCGGGAAGGTAAACAGCGTTCCGTGTGCTGCGCTGGCTCGCCAGATGCAGCTTTGTCACACTGGCCACGTGACCCGGAAGTGTCTCCGGACAGCGCTGGCCCCCGGCCTCTAGAGTGAGATTGGCGCACAACCCTAGAGTCTGTCAAGACTGGCCCGTACGGGCAGGGGTACCTTTACCTTTACCATAATGCCAAAGACATCCCTTGCCATGCAAACATATTCAGAGATGGAGCTGGAGAAAAGAGGGGAATAACACATGTGAGGATTCCTTGATAATATTGTTACGCAACACCCAAATTGCTGAGCATTGAGAAAACCCAGGAGTTCCAGTGTTTGCCCAGAATTCAGTTTCCTTGAAGGTGAGGCGCTCAATTCCTGTTTATGAAACATCCAGTCTTGCATAGGAAAGTTTTTAAAGTTTGATGTTTAATGTGTTATGATGTTTTTATACATATTTTTGAGCCACCCAGGGACCCTTCCAACTATACAATTCCAGGATTCAATGATAAATGCCATTTTGCTCCATTTTGACCTGGCATTGCTGTCCCCAGCTCTCACCCACCTCTCCCCCCCCCCAACCTCCTTCTGATCTGGGCCAATTCCCAATTCCAGTGTGTTTCACAGAAGCAGCTGCCTGTTACTTCACACACCTTTTCAGCCTGTGGACATTCGCTGATCATGGAGCAATATTTGTCTGACTTGGAGCCAGACATGGTGAGGAAACAGAACTCAGCTGTGTGACCACAGGCTCCCCACCTTGCCTGCTGCACCTTGCGCTTCAGCCTCTCAGGAAAGGATGCCAAAGCACATGCCAGTTACTCCAAAACCAATGACAGTCACTGTATGGAGAGAAACTGGCAGAGCTCCCATCGCAACCCAGATCCCCTTTTCATACAAGGCACCCACACAGAGGTTTCCAATGCTTGCATTTATTGAAAGGAAAAGCTTAAGCAAATGAGCAGGCAAACCCAATCCTAAACCCATTTACAAAGATGCCAGCCTCTCTGAGCACAGCAGGACTTGCTCTGGAGTAAATGGGCAGAAAGGATTGGGCTGTGACGGATCCTTCTCAGAATCGCCTTCAGCAGCAGCAGCAGCAGTGAGCAAAGAGATTTCTGCAGAGGTGCAGTCAAGGCAGCTGCATCTCCAGAGAAGAAGCGGGGTGGTCTTCCTTTCGTCAGAGGTGATGCGTGATGGGTCTGCTGTAGAGTTAAATGATAACGATAGAAAACGCCATGAATATCGGGGGTGCTCAAAACAGGCCAGTAACTCCTTGAAAGAGCAAAGAGCTGAACGCTATCGGAACTGGGATTTCACATGTTGGTGGGGTGGGGTTCAGTTCAGATTTTCTGCTGGATGTTCAGAAGTTGGGAGAGGTCTCCATCCTGAACCCAAACTGCTCCATGCACTTTCTGGAGCTGATGGGAGATGTACTCCAATACATGTGGTGGGCACCTGGTTGACAAAGGCTGCCCTCTAGTGTTTAATAAGCCTTGTTTCACACGCGGCTCAGTTATCCCACTCCTGTTTATAAGCTGATGGAGTCAAGTGGCTCCAAATGTCAGCAGAGAATTCTCAAGATCTAAACCCAAAACAGTGAATTTAGCATTCGGGAGAATCTAGCAAGTGCCCCCCCACACACTCCCAAACCCAAACTGCTCCATGCACTTTCTGGAGCTGATGGGAGATATACTCCAAAACATCTGGTGGCCACCTGGTTGACTAAGGTTGATCTCCAAGTGGCTCCAAATGTCATCAGGGAATTCTCAAGATCCAAACTCGAATCAATAAATTTAGCATTCGGGAGAATCTAGCAAGTGCCACCCCTCCACTCCATGGCTGTTAAGGGTCAAAGACAGGGGGAAGAAGAAGAGCTGTAACTCTCAAGCCTTTGGGGTCGTGTCTCTTTGAGATGCCACAGACGTATTTCCAGACCCAGGTATGGTTTTGCCTATAACTCACCTTAGCTGCGCTTGCAGCAACGCCTGTCTCCCGAACACTTCCCAATCTCTTTCTCGCCTTTGTTGCAGGTTTTTCTGCAGCTGCCCCCATTGTTCTGGCAATCCTGGGTGGGACGTTGAGCTCCAGTGAAATCTGTAAGGGAAAGTGAAGAGAAAAGCAAACTAAGAGAGGGAGATGCAACTACCAAGGAGAGGATCTACCTGGGAAAGCTGCTCCATCTCCCAGGACTGGCCTTCTACACCTTCCATCCATTGTTCCTCAACAATCCTGCTAGCCAGGACATCTGGAGGGCACCAGGTTGGGGGAGGCTGGTGTATAATGAATGCAGGAAAGGGGCTGGGATGGAGAGTGAGCCCCTCCCCCTCCAACCTGTGCCTTCAGAAGGAGGTTTGAGCCAAGGTGGTAGGAAAACCTTTGTCAGAGTCACTGGCTTCCGTGGGGGTCACTAGCAACCTTGGAGAGAGAAGTTCTCTTGCCCAGGAAACTGGCCCACTCTCTTCCCCACCACAAAGCTGAATGCGCTGAAATGTGTTTTAACAGATTTTATAGCAACAACTTCTTTGGATTAGATTCCATACTTTAGGATTGGGATGGCAATCAGGTCCTGAGAGCCTGGCTGCTGGAATCAAGTCCATCAACCTGGTCTCACAGTGGCCAGTAAGACTCCCCACTTGGAAAGTTCTAAAGGGGGACAGAGGGTCAAGAGAATTCCCCACCCATCCCTTTGGGATTCCCTGCAAGTGGGATTCAGAGGCAAGTTTAAAAAGAATAAAGAGGAGAGCTGTGGAGCTCAGAGAAGAAGCATCTGAGAAGAAGGCCATACCTGGAGCCACCAGCATCAGGAGGAGGAAGGCAAGAGAGAGGAGGCAGAAGATCTTCATGGCTGGAGGTTGGTGGGAATCCTGGAGATGCCTGAAGCCAAGTGGAAGAGCAGTTGACTGGGGAAGGAGAGGTCCCCTTACTTATAGGTGGATGGAGGACTGTTGAAACCTTGTGGGAAACCAAATGTCTTTTAGAGCATAGATGTCACAATCCCTGTGGGGCGAAAGAAGATGGGAATTGCTGTCTGGATTTGAGTAATGCTCTTGTGCAAAACCACATATGGAAGAATGACCACAAACCAGGCTAGTGTCACTGACTGAGAAAGAGAAGCAGAGAGAAACTATGCCATGGGAGAATTAATTTCCTAGCTATGCATTGAGTTTACCATGAAGTTAATAGAGGAAAAGCACGTTCTTGGAGGAGAGGGCTATCAGGGCTCCTGGCCCCCAGCACTCTGTTTTCCCTCCACTGCTTCAGTCTCTGAACTCCAGTTGCTCACAATCACAAGCGAGGCCATGGCTGTTTCTCACATGTGTGTTTCTGGTAGCCTTCTTGTCACCATTTGACTCTTGTAGGCTGCTGCTCTGATCCAGCAGGGATCTCCTTATGCCCTTTGCAGAGTTAAGGTTTCTTCAGATAATGCATTTGAAAAAGATCCTTCACAGCACACAGTTAAAGAATGGAGTTTGCTCCTACAGGAGATAGTGCCACCAAATTAGATGGTTTTGAAAGGCGCTTATTTGTGGGTTATCAATGGCTACTGGTACCCCAGTGTATGGGTTTGTGTAGCCATTATGTTGAATTTAATTTCTCCCATTTCCCTGGCAAAAACACAAAGAGGACCCCACTGGCAAGCAATCCATTGAAGAATGACAGTGTGATTTCTTAGCATCCTTTTGAGGTCATGGCTTTTCTTTTCCATATTTGGAGGACAAATAGCGGGGGAAATGAAAGGCATATCTTCTCAGAGATTCTTACACTTTGCTTCAACTTTGCATTTCAATGTTTGATGAGGGCCAAATAAAAAGGGGCTTATTTGTAAATAAATTAATACCCCTATGTCATTCTTATGTGTCCCATTTTTGGTTTATTTGGGATGCTTAAGGTTCTTTGCTATTGCCCCCTCATCAGTGACGAAGCAATGATTCTTCAACATCAGTTTCGTTGGACTGGTCATGAGGTTTAGATGCCTGATTATCGTCTTCTAAAGCGACTTCTCTATTCCCAACTTCAGAATGGAAAGCGTAATGATGGTGGACAATAAAAGAAATGTCCATTGTGGCAGGGAGCAAGAATGCAAGTCTTACAGTCCTTGTTGGGATGGGGACCAAAGGGGAAAGATGGGAGATCTGGACACAGGTCACATCACAGCCTTCACCAACCTGGTGCCCTCCAGATGTTTGGGACTACTCCTCCCATCGCCCCATGCAGGACCATGTGAGGCTGAGGCTACTGGGAGTTTTTGCCGTTCTATGCCGCTTGCTTGTGAAAACAGCCTCTCATTGGTTTACAAAAGAGAGTGTGGGCTTGTGGGAGAGAGCAAGGGGTGCTGGACTAGGCAGGCCTTTGGGCTGGTCCATTTCAGGGCTCTTTTCGTGCAAAGTCCTTCAGATCCACATCTCATACCATCATTTCCACCTGGGCTTTCCCTCCACCATCTGCAACTCA